TGCACAGACAGTATAATTATCCCTGCATACAGCTAGATATGGTTCTACACCACTAATGTGCCTGGATACATCAAATTATTGGACTCACCTATTGGTAAGTGTTTGATTAATTCCAAAGTGATTCTGAAAAATGCTTTCATCAGGACTCAACATAAATACCCTTAGGTAAAAAGTACATGCATAGCAATAATCAATTAGACAAAAAGCCAGATATTTGGCCTGCCTATATCAAGTCTGCATTCACTCTGGACCTCAACAATTTTTGCTTCAAAACCCGAACTACTGTTAGGTTTTTTAAAAAGCAACTGAGTATAACACGGCAAAATCAGATCATCCTTACGCTTATTTGGGACTTAGTACAGTTTTTATTTTGCATTACAGATGAGGGGAGGCGCCACAATTTTTTCCACCCTTAGGGTCTAGTGCTGATTTTTAAATAGGATTAATGGTAGTAGATAAAACAGCTTTGCCAATTAAATATGAATTCCAGATAAACATGCAACATTGGGACAAACTTCTATTAAAAATTATTGTTTATCTGAAATTCAAATATAACTGGGCATCCTGTGTCTTATTCATTAAATCTGGCAATTTCACAGGATGCATTTAACTAGATGAATGAAAATATGAGTTAGAGCCTGAAAATAATTTTTTTTAAAGATTTATTTATTTATGAGAGAGAGGAGACAGGGGCTGGGAGGAGGTGAAGGAGAGAGAACCTTTAGCAGACTCCCCACTGAGCATGGAGCCTGAAGCAGGACCACAGGCGGGGCTTGATCTCAAGTTACACAACCCTCACAGATTTGTGCAGGCAAAGCAGTCAGGAGATGCTAACCATGTGCCACAGATGCAGAAATCATTGTGTGAATTCTTGAATTGCTCAACAACTGGCAAATAATGAAAACAATATTTTGAGATACTAAGTAGAAAACTGGCCAGAGATGGTTTCCTTTAGAAAATGCCTCTTAAGGGGGGAGAAGATGGGGGAGGAGAAGGAGTAGGAGTAGGACCCTATTCCAATCGGTCCCTGGAATTGAGCTGGATATCTACCAGACACTCCAAACACCCACGAAATCAGCCTGAGATGTAAGAAGATAAATATGGATCTCTACAAACAGAATATCGCAGGCCCTTGGTTTCAAGGTATGAAGCAGGGAGCTGTGATTCCGTGGGCACATATCGGAAGATAAATGGAAGGGGGAGGGAGCCTCGCCGTGGGGATCTTACACCACCAGTGAGCGACAACCTCCCCCGCTGGGGACGGGGCACAGACTTGCAGACCGGTAGTGGTGGGGAAAGGACTTTAGGGCAGAAACCCAGACGGAAACTGGAGCAGCGGGGTCGCACGAGCCATCTGGGGGCAGCTGGCGGTTTTAGAAGCACAAAGGGCAGAGTGCCCCCATGCCCCAACCTGGAGGCAAGGACTGGGAGCCTGCTGAGGGGCACACAACCCAGGACGCTGCAGTTTATAGCAGCACAGACAGAAACGGAGATAGTGTGGCCTGGAGAGCTCACTGAAAAACAGACTGTGATCTCTCTGCTCTGAGAATTATTGGAATCCCTGAGGGGGTGGAGAGAGAGAGGACTAGAAGATACATTTGAGCAAATCGTAGCTGAGAACTTCCCTAATCTGGGGAATGAAACAAACATTTGTGTCCTAGAGGCAGAGAGCACCCCTCCCAAGATCAAGGAAAACAGGCCAATGCCCCGGCATGTAATAGTAAAACTCTCAAATCTTAGAACAAAGGAAACCATCTTAAGGGCCGTTAGGGGGAAGAGATTCCTTAGGTACAGAGGGAGGAACATCAGAATAATGTCAGACCTATCCACAGAGACCTGGCGAGCCAGAAAAGCCTGGCAAGACATATTCAGGGTACTAAGCGAGAAGAACATGCAGCCAAGAATACTTTATCCGGCAAGGCTGTCATTTAGAATGGATGGAGAGATGCAGAGCTTCCACGACCGGCAGAAACTGAAAGAATATGTGACCACTAAGCCCATCCTGCGAGAAATATTAAGGAGGGTTCTATAAAAGTAGAAAGGCCCCAAGAGTGATATAGAAAAGAAATTTACAGGGACAATCTATAAACACAAGGTCTTCACAGGCAACATGATGACAATTCATATCTTTCAATAATCACTCTCAACGTGAATGGCCTAAATGCTCCCATAAAGCGGCACAGGGTTGCAGATTGGATAAAAGACAGGATCCATCCATATGCTGTCTACAAGAGACTCATTTTGAACCTAAAGATACACCCAGACTGAAAGTGAAGGGATGGAGATCCACCTTCCATGCCAACAGACCTCAAAAGAAAGCTGGGGTAGCAATTCTTATATTAGACAAATTAGATTTTAAACTGAAGACTGTAGTTAGAGACACAGAAGGACACTATATCATTCTTAAAGGGTCTATCCAACAAGAAGATCTAACAACTGTAAATATGTACACCCCCAACATGGGAGCAGCCATCTACATAAGCCATCTGTTAACCAAAATAAAGAGTCATATTTATAACAATACGTTAATTGTAGGAGACCTCAATATTCCACTCTCAGCAACAGACAGATCATCTAAGGAGAAAATCAACAAAGAAACAAGAGCTTTGAATGACACACTGGACCAGATGGACCTCATAGATATATGCAAAACGTTCCACCCTAAAACAACAGAATACTCAAGTCTTTTCGAGTGCACAGGGAACTTTCTCCAGAAAAGACCACATAATGGGTCACAAATCAGGTCACAGCTGATACCAAAAGATTGAGATTATTCCCTGCATATTCTCAGATCATAATGCTTTAAAACTGGAACTCAATCACAAGAAAAAATTTGGAAGAAATTCAAACACTTGGAAGCTAAAGACCACTCTGCTCAAGAATGTTTGGGTCAACCAGGAAATCGAAGAAGAACTTAAACAATTCATGGAAACCAATGAGAATGAAAACACATCGGTCCAAAACCTATGGGATGCTGCAAAGGCAGTCCTAAGGGGGAAATACATAGTCATCCAAGCCTCACTCAAAAAAATAGAAAAATCCCAAATTCACCAACTAATTCTACACCTTAAAGAACTAGAGAAAAAGCAAAAAACGATGCCTAAGCCACACATTAGAAGAGAAATAATTAAGATTAGAGCAGAGATCAATGAATTAGAAACCAGAAACACAATAGATCAGATCAACGAAACTAGAAGCTGGTTCTTTGAAAGAATTAATAAGATCAATAAACCACTGGCAGACTTATCCAAAAGAAAAGAGAAAGGCCCTAAATTAATAAAATTATGACTGAAAGGGGAGAGATCATGACTAACACCAAGGCAATAGAAAGAATTATTAGAAATTATTATCAACAACTATATGCCAATAAGCTGAGCAACCTGGATGAAATGGATGTCTTCCTGGAAGCCTATAAACTCTCAAGACTGAAACAGGAAGAAATTGACAATCTGAATAGGCCAATAACCAGTAATGAGATTGAAGCAATGATCAAAAACCTCCCAAAAAACAAGAGTCCGGGGCCTGATGGATTCTCTGGGGAATTCTACCAAACAATCAAAGAAAAAATAATACCTATTCTCCTGAAGCTGTCTCAAAAAATAGAAACAGAAGGAAAGCTTCCAGACTCATTCTATGAGGCCAGCATTACCTTAATCCCCAAACCAGGCAAAGACCCCATCAAAAAGGAGAATTTCAGACGGATATCTCTGATGAATATGGATTCCAAAATCCTCAACAAAATCCTAGCTAATAGGATCCAACAATACATTAAAAGGATCATCCACCACAACCAAGTGGGATTTATCCCCGGGATGCAAGGGTGGTTCAACATTCACAAATCAATCAATGTGATAGAACACATTAATAAGAAGAGAGAGAAGAACCATATGGCCCCCTCAATTGATGCAGAAAAAGCATTTGACAAAATACAGCATCCTTTCCTGATTAAAACTCTTCAGAGTATAGGGATAGAGGAAACATTCCTCAAGTTCATAAAATCCATCTATGAAAAACCCACAGCAAATACCATCCTCAATGGGGAAAAGCTGAGAGCCTTTCCCTTAAGATCAGGAACACGTCAAGGATGCCCACTCTCACCACTATTGTTCAACATAGTACTAGAAGTCCTAGCAACAGCAATCAGACAACAAAAAGAAATAAAAGGTATTCAAATTGGCAAAGAAGAAGTCAAACACTCTCTTTTCACAGATGACGTGATACTTTATGTGGAAAACCCAAAAGACTCCACCCCCAAATTACTAGAACTCATACAGCAATTCAGTAATGTGGCAGGATACAAAATCAATGCACAGAAATCAGTTGCTTTCTTATACACTAACAATGCAACTGTAGAAAGAGAAATTAGAGAAACGATTCCATTTACAATAGCATCAAAAACCATAAGATACCTTGGAATAAACCTAACCAAAGAGGTAAAGGATCTATACTCTAGGAACTACAGAACACTCATGAAAGAAATTGAAGAAGACACAAAAAGATGGAAAAACCGTCCATGCTCATAGATTGGAAGAATAAACATTGTTAAAATGTCTATGCTACCCAGAGCAACCTATACCTTCAATGCCATCCTGATCAAAATTCCAATGACATTTTTCAAAGTGCTGGAATAAATCCTAAAATTTGTATGGAATCAGAAAAGACCCCAAATCGCCAAGGAAATGTTGAAAAAGAAAAACAAAGCTGGGGGCATCATGTTGCCCGATTTCAAGCTATATTACAAAGCAGTGGTCACCAAGACAGCATGGTCCTGGCCCAAAAACAGACATATAGACCAATGGAACAGAATAGAGAGCCCAGATATGGACCCTCAACTCTATGGTCAAATAATCTCCGACAAAGCAGGAAAGAATGTCCAATGGAAAAAAGACAGTCTCTTCAATAAATGGTGCTGGGAAAATTGGACAGCTACATGCAGAAGAATGAAACTCAACCAGTCTCTAACACCATACACAAAGATAAACTCAAAATCGATGAAAGACCTCAATGTGAGACAGGAATCCATCAAAATCCTCGAAGAGAACATAGGCAGTAAACTCTAGGACATCGGCCACAGCAACTTCTTTCAAGATACATCTCCAAAGGCTAGTGAAACAAAAGCAAAAATGAACTTTTGGGACTTCATCAAGATAAAAACTTCTGCACAGCAAAGGAAACAGTCAACAAAACAAAGAGGCAACCCACAGAATGGGAGAAGATATTTGCAAATGAAAGAGAAAAGTCTGGTATCCATGATCTATAAAGAACATCACAAACTCAACAGCCAAAAAGCAAATAATCAAGTCAAAAAACAGGCAGAAGACATACATGTCTTCTCCAAAGAAGACATACAAATGGCTAACAGACACATGAAAAAGTGTTCATCATCATTAGCCATCAGGGAAATTCAAATCAAAACCACATTGAGATACCACCTTACACCAGTTAGAATGGCAAAAATCGACAAGGCAAGAAACAACAAATGTTGGAGAGGTTGTGGAGAAAGGAGAACCCTCTTACACTGTTGGTGGGAATGCAAGTTGGTATAGCCACTTGGGAAAACAGTGTGGAGGTTTCTCAGAAAATTAAAAATAGAGCTACCCTATGACCCAGCAATTGCACTACTCGGTATTTACCCCAAAGACACAGATGTAGTGAAAAGAAGGGCCATATGCACCCCCATGTTTATAGCAGCAATGTCTGCAATAGCCAAACTATGGAAAGAGCCGAGATGCCCTTCAACAGATGAATGGATAAAGAAGATGTGGTCCATATATACAATGGAATATTGCTCAGCCATCAGAAAGGATGAATACCCAACTTTTACATCAACATGGATGGGACTAGAGGAGATTATGCTAAGTGAAATAAGTCAAGCAGAGAAAGTCAATTATCATATGGTTTCACTTATTTGTGGAACATAAGGAATAGCATGGAGGACATTAGGAGAAGGAAGAGAAAAATGAAGGGGGGGAAATCGGAGGGGGAGAGGAACCATGAGAGACTAGGACTCTGAGAAACTGAGGGTTTTAGAGGGGTGGGGGTGGGGGGATGGGTTAGTCTGGTGACAGGTATTAAGGCAGGCACGTACTGCATGGAGCACTGGGTGTTATATGAAAACAATGAATCGTGGATCACTACATCAAAAACTAATGATGTATTGTATGGTGACCAATATGACATAATAAAATAAAATTAAAAAGAAAAGAAAGAAAATATCTCTCAACTTGGGGTGTTTGCTGTGCTGTAGAGGTGACCTGAAATAGAGAACAGGGCTGCATTCTGATTATCACAGGAAGCTGGGTCGGTGTTGCTGGAACTTAACATTCAGACGGAAAGGATGTTAAATGGCTTGGAGTATTTGAAAAAAGCCAACTGCCTGCCCATAAGCCTACAGGGCCCAACTGAGAAATGTCACCTTAGGTTACACAAATAATTATACAACTAATGGATACATAGGACAAAAGATACCATGTTTACATGTACTCTACTAAAGAGAAAAAGCATACCAAGATAGAACTTTCTCGGTGGAAATTCCAAATTCTCAAAAGTAGCAGGTAGATCAGTTTCTTTTGGGATTCACCTCCTCTCCCGTTACTGTAGCCAAGGAGCAGAGCCATACTCAAACATGGCTGTGCTGTGTGTTGATCGGGAGAGGGCATTCCCAGGAAAATGAGGGGGAGGGGAGGGAAAGGAGTAAACAGATAAACAGATAAGAAATAGGCAAAGGCTGGTTTCTTTTTACCTAGTATGAAATGAAAACTGCTGCTGATAAAGCTAGTGAATAATAATCTCAATTCTGGGAAAGTCAAGAATGAAGACCTGGTGGGTGTTATCCATAGGCCAATGAGGAGCACAGATAATACAAAGAAAGAAATAGATCTTTCAAAATCTAGTTAATAGGAAGCTGTTTATAGCATCTGTCACCCCACATGCAACTCTGCATTTTAAAAATCAAATTTCCATTATTTCAATCCTGTTTGAAGCAATTACTATGTTAAAACCATATATATTATTTCTGAGCCTCATAAAAATCCTTCAAATAATACATGCCCAACTCATACATATAGAAGTCACCTAATCTGAGATTTAAACCAAGTACGGCTGACATCAAAACCAGCACCATTTTCTCTGTACTACCTCATACTAGTCATTCACAACTTACATCTTCTTCTTGTCATATTTTATCCCAATTAAATACATATATAGGTATTTATACAAGTGCACACATGCATATGCTTGAAGAAATTCAGGAGATTTTATTTATTATACAATGACCATACCCAGGAATACCTAAAACCTCTGGATCTGAGTGAAAATCACCCTCTAGGAGGCATGAATCATCCCCAGTAGTCAGGAAGCTGCACTGGCTCATTTTCACCACAAGGGTGCACTGAAGTAGCAATTTACTAGGTTGAACGTAAAGAGTTAATGGTTTCTTCAAAAGGTTAATTCCCTTTCAAGGAATAGATCTATTCACTGGGACATTATCGTTTAATACAAAAATTATTAATGACAGGTTTTGTGACATTCGTTGATGATTAACCGGTTTCAGTGAGCTCTTATGTCTTTTGATGATCTCCACTACCAAAAAGACAGCTTCTGAGTATGATGGATTTGCACTATTAATCTGCCCACCTGTGCTAATTCTAACTACACCTAGATGAGAAATAAATCAATTTTGATGAATGGCGGTATACCTGTCTTCTGCTTCAGAATGGTTGTTTAATAACTCTAATTGCCATGCCATTGATTTTTTTTTTTTCCGTCTGAGATGTTTTACACATTTGACTTATTAGGCTGAATATTATTTTTAGTTTTCAAAAACAATAGGGCTGCTCTAACATAAAAGTGGATCTAATATGATATGTCCCATGTTGAATTTAATGGTTGTTTCCAATACATAGAAATCACTTCTGTAAAACCTATGTATGTGTGGTTGTGTAGAATATGTGGGTATAAGTGTGTATCTAATAAAAATAAACCAATCTCTGGAAAAGTAAGTCAAGTGTTTACATCCTGCCTCAAAGATGGGTACATTATTTCATGGAGCACTGACGTTTTCCCTAGAAAGCAAATGAGGAAACTTTGTGTTAAATATTTTTTTTACCTTATTGAGAACCCCCAAAACTGCATAAATCTGGGGCTGTGTTGAGTGTAAACATGGACGTGCACACTCTTCACAGCCATGGGATACTTTACTAGTCTTATTTCATTATTTCTATTTATAGTAACAACTCTGTATTGTTTAGTTGATATTAAAAAGGCAAGGATTTCACAAAGACAAGGAGAATTTATTCCTTCAACAAGTACTTATTGAGTACCTCCTATGAGACCGGCCCTCTGCTAAATGTGCTTATACAGTGGAGACATGGTCCCCCCACCAGCAGGAACTGTGTGACTTTTTTTTTTAAACATCTACTCTACTTATACAAAAACAAACGAATGAAAGGATGCTAACAAAAGGAGCATAAAATATCTTATCTATAACTGAGTAATATTTTGTACTCATAAACTCTCAAAGATAAACTAATTGTAAAACACCCTTCTAAATCACTGAATTGTTGTATAACATTATCACTGAATTCAATATTAAAGAGTGTCTGCAAAAATATTTGAATTTGAAATAATTTTAAGGTTTTTTCTATCTCTATTTGAATATCCAGAACAGTTGGTTATTTAAGACGCTGTAGTTTGTAATAACGAAATAAAAAATGTCATCTATATAAAAAAGACAGGAACCTATATTTATTTGTTATATTAATTTGCTTTGATATTTTTGCACATTAAGTCAAAGAAGATGGCTGATAGACATAATATTAATTTCTAAGTCCCACAGAATATTTTTCTCAACACTTATCTTCAGTAACACCCTATCCATGCATTTAGATCTGTGGCAGGGAAGGGAAGAATTCAAAATGGCAAAAGGAAGTGAGAAGGGGCAGAAGCACACATTGTTATATTCTATTAGTAAATCATGACTGAATAGCACTTTTACTAGGAAATCTTATTTAAATTTCATAGTTTTAAATCTAATACTTTAAATCTAATACTTAGTAATATTAGTTTTAGGTATAGAATTTAGAGATTTGTCACTTACATATAACACCAAGCGCTCATGCAACAAGCGTCCTCCTATCTATTTTTAAAACAGTACTCTCATCTTTTAAAAATATTTCATTAAAAGAAATGGTACCCTCTTTTTGGAAAATATTTTTTTTTAAAGATTTTATTTATTTATTCATGAGAGACAGAGAGAGCAGAGAGAGAGAAGCAGGCTCCCAAGGAGCAGGGAGCCCGATGTGGGACTCGATCCCAGGACCCTGGGATCATGACCTGAGCCGAAGGCAGACGCTTAACCATCTGAGCCACCCAGGCGCCCTGGAAAATATTTTCAAATGAGGTTTGTAAAGGCTTTTTATCCTTGTCTTGACGACATGAGTTCTCAACTTCCAAATATCATACATGTTTCGAAAGCTATAATATATAATGCTGCACTGGGATTCCCACAAAAATCAGGCAGATCCTACGCTACCTGGGGTGTGAGATGTAGGAATGTTGACTTAGAGCATCCAGAATTCCCTTTCTGTAGATTTCTCTATGGTTGAGTTAAACCCAGCTAGATACAGAAGCAAGTTTATGAAATGATTATACAAAATGCCCATGACTGCTAGCAGTCTATTTGTTCTCCAACTTTTCTTGCCCAGGGATATTTGAAGTCCATATAAAGATATAGGGGTCAATGGTTTAACCCGAATAATTTAAATCCTAACTGGAAAACTTGACACACTGTGATAGGGAAGGGAAAGAGATTTGGAGAGCAAAGCCTCCCTGGTCCTAATCACAGAACTAGATAGGTAGATATATTTCAACAGTAAGATCTAGCAAATCCTATTAAATGCTGTCTCAGACTATAGGACCATAAGACAGGCAATGCTGACAGTCACATGATCATTTATGTTTACAACGAAAATGCAGAAGAAAAACCATAAATAAACAAATGAGATATACAGCAAAGCCTCAGGTTCCAGACAAGAATAAATGCAACTGAGGAACAGCCACATGTGTTGTGATGCAGCTTAAAATCATATTATAACTAATAAGCTGCCCGTTCATAACATGGCTCAGATTACAGCAAAATTTTTAACAAAAAAAGGAGAGCAGTGAAGATCTGACATTTGGTGGCTTTCTCCTTTGATTACTCTTTTAAATTCCTGGAAATATGAAGTCCAATGACTACACATCCTTTTCATTACTATTCTTATCATCATCATTATGATTATTTACAGAAGAATTCTCTAGATAAGAGTGGAGCCAAAATGTTCTATCTCTTAGCTATGCTTCTCAGCCAATCTGCCTTTATAACAGCAGGATACATTCCCTATGTTTGCACATTTCTGGTGCCAACTAATTTACTCGTTTTTGTTACTATCTCCATTGTGTTGCCAGCACAGTAATGGTCCCATACACACCATTATTGTTGGTGTTATTGCTTCAGAGTTGTTTGGTTTTTTTTTAGATTTATTTATTTTAGAGAGAGAGAACGAGCGGGAGGAAGGACAGAGGGAGAGGAAGAGAGAATCTCGAGCAGACTCCCCACTGAGCATGTAGCCTGATGTGAGGCTTGATCTTACGACCCTGAGATCATGACCTGAGCCAAAATCAAGAGCAGGATGCTCAGCCAACTGAGCCACCCAGACATCACCCCCTACTTTTTGTTTCATTTTCTTTGGTGTTGTTCCTTCAGAGTTTAAAGAAAACTGAAAGGTAACCTAAGCCAAAAAGAAGTTAAATTAATTGTTTGGAGCTCTTGAATTTTAGTGTAGTGTTATTTTTTCACACCACGATGGCTACAAATTTTGCTCATTAATCTCATTATAAGTTGACAAGAACTCTAGAAAATTTTACATAACAAATCAGCAGAAACCAGTGCAAGTTAAGATATTCTATTTAGCAGTGGAAACACTAAGCCAATAAAGTATTCATAAAAAGAAGAGAACAAAAATTATGCTAACTAAAGTCTTAAGGTTAAGTGTTCTAGATCTGATAAGATAAAGATGTACCTTTTTTAATTTTCAGAGTAGGAATGTAGACATTCTACATGATGTGTTTTTCTATGTACATCCCTAGAAAGGGATGTTCAACTCATATTAAAAACACATTCTTTAAAAAGAACCACTTTTAAAATTTTTCAAAAAGTTCACTTGAAATTAATATAATAGACCTAAACTTTGGAAAAAGCAAAGAAAAATGAATGATATTCTCATAAACTTCATCAAGTGGGAGAACTTCTGAGCAAGGAAACTCTGGCCTGCTTTCATGCTTCCCTTCTGCCCAGTGAAACCTCAGGTAAATTTACACTGTGGACTTTCCAGGGATGGTGACATCTAGAGTTTGACATAAAAGGATGCATGAGAAGTTATTATTATTTCTATCTCCCAACACAGAGGCATCAGGGTGGGCAGAGGAAATTATATCCATAATTATAACTGGAACAATGGCAGAGCTGTGTTAATTGTCCTGCTGGTCCTTCTACTTGGAAAGTGAGTAGTGACTGGATAAAGGCAAAATAATACTATTCCAAGGTTTACCATATGCCAAGCACTTTACGTACAGGAACTCATTTATTTCACCACACCATGCATATTGTTATCTCCCTCTAAAAAGGGGGATGAAAAAAGTAAATAATTTGCCAAAACTGAATAGATAGGAAGTGCTAGATTTGAAATCTGAAGCTGAGTTTGTCTGGCTTCTGGCCTATTTTCTTTTAGCTCTAGCATATGTTCTCCACTCTGAGTTAAATGAATGTAATTATTGGCAGCGATGTATGTGAATAATACATGTAGGTTTACTGTATCACACTACAAGTTGTATGTGTGTGTGTGTGTACATATACACATTTATATGCAGACTGTTCTCTCTATTGAAAACACTGACTTTTCCCCTTAGCTCCTGGATTTCCAGCAGTCACTCTCATTTTACATGTAGAAGAGAGAGCTTTGAAACTTAATCCTCTAATCGGACCCTAACTTATGTTACTGGAAGGGCAACTGTGCTTAGCCTGGAATAAAATACACGTGATAAAAGACAACTGGAGAAGACTGATATATTCCCAAAGGTGGAGCTCAGGCAGAAGTTGAGAATTAAGTACCGGAAGACAACATCTCGCAATAATTTCTTACAATATTACATCATTAATTTTGGAGTAACCTTCCAAATTGCTAAGCCTGCTTGCATTCAATTTTCAGTACAAAGATATATTTTAAATTCAAATATAAGTGATATTTGAATGAGTCATACCTCCTCTCTGTTCTGTGAATGTAGATAATCAAAAGTTGACTATAGTCAAATATATTGAAGGAAACACATTCAGTGCGGCAATAATAGTCATATATACACAAGGACAAATGCAGAAAAAAAAAAGACCTAAAAGACATTAGAATTCCCCATGACTGAACAAAACAATTATGATAGCCTTTACATATTCCTAAAATGTGTCATTTTATGTGGATTTTTAAAAAGAGCTCATCAGTAGTAGGATACATACCCTCCAATTTTATCTATAGTCAGATCAGATTGCAATAATAGTTAAGTTGTAAAATGCCTAGATATTTCAAGGAATGACATACTGCAGATAGGTAAAAACAAATAGCATTCAGAAGTTAATCCAATATTAAAGGACCACCATTTCCTGCAGAGTGAAAACATAGAAAGATTGGCAAAAAAAGGCAAAGTAAATAAAATGACCACTAAATCTATTGATAATATTATTAAAACAATATGAAACACTTTAATGATTAGTTGTATAAGTATGGTTTCTTGGCCATGTAGGAAAAGGGAGAAAAAGGTCAATAAACATAATCATGCATGTGCTATGACTAATGTGTTAGAAGTAGCAAAAAAAAATCTTAAACTTCATGGGAACCATTATAATTGCCATAGGTACCAATGACTAGCCAATTCTAGCATTAGTATTGAGAACTCAACACTGACCCAACAGGCTAGGGCCCTAATACCACTAACGCATTCCATTTCAAATTGCGTTTCATCCTATGCCCCATTTAGGTGAACATTTATATGAAATATTAACATTAGACTTAATCTATGGTAGAGTGATATGTGCAGTTTTGCTGGCAGCAGCAGCTCTTTTTTTTTTTTTTCTATGATGTATTATGACTCTATAAAATGGAAATCTTTCCTAACTAGGATTCAATTAAGAGATACCAGAAGGCAAAAGATTATGCCAAAAAAGAACCTTCATGATATTAGAAAAAAGGTGAAAGTACTTTAGATGTGGAAATTAAAAATCCACTGGGGAAAGGATCTTTAAATAGGATGTTCTCAAGAGGGAATGGAGGAGGCTTCAGGGCTGCTTACATGTCCACAGTTGGTATTTCCACCCCAAAATGCAGAAAATGTCTTCATAATGTTAGTGCAAAATGATAAATGTCGGGAACATGTTTACCAATGTACTGGAAGTGTCTAGCATGCATAATGGCAATGGATCACATTCCCTACATTTCACCTAAGAAAACAGGGTGACAGAGTTGGGTCTGTGTCATGTTTCCATTTGAATTAAAGGTCTCTAATAAATGCACTCCAAAGATTAAATCATTTTAAATTGCTTTTGGCACCTAAACAGATTTGGCTGCTACACTCTACCAATAGTGAAGCTGCTTTTTTGCTTATTGGTTTGCTCTCATTTCACAGCTGAACTTATGCATTCCTACCTTACAAAGTTCTATCAAGTTCAGGCAGCTATTTCATGAAAATGCATGATCATCAGAGTACACAGTTAGTGATATTAGTAGATCAATGTATATCCTTTTTCCTGTTACTATCCAAAGATACAACCCTAGCTTAGGAGACAAGCAAAATGAGTATGTTCAGTAATATTAGTCTGCATAAAAATATCTTAAGAAGCTAGGCCATTGTCATTAGTCATGATAAGAATGTCTCCTAGGATATGTAAGTCAAAAGAAAGTTTATGTGGCAGAATTATGTAAGGAAACTTACAATAGTGCCTGCCCACAAACCATGCAATTTGGAAACAGCCAAGAAACAAAACCATAGAGAAGGAGAGATAAATACAACATGTATTAGGGGTTATTATGCAACTACAAAGGTTCAATATGACCCTGGAAATATAGCAAAAAATAGTTATGGAAAAAGAAGCTATTTCTTATGCTCAGTAGCTAATTTTCAAACATATGTACCTGTATTTGAAACTTTGAGCATTTCACACATTTTTCTGTATCTGAAAAAAAAATGGATCCAGACTGATATTGTGTATCAATATAGCTGAAAACAGTCAATAAAAAGGTAGCCAAAAGCAAAATTCAAATAAGAATTCTAAAAAAGGATATTATTCTGGTTGCTGATAAAACACTTCTGATGTATACTTTGCTCATGTTGGAAAAGAATAATTTACTGTTCAATTTTCCTAGAAAGGATGAAATATCTATAAGATGATTTCATAAAATGTTTGATTAAATAAAAGCTAGATTAAAGTGTCTAGGTCAAACTGTAAATATAATAGAAACTTAAAAAATAATATATAACTCCATTTTGAGAATATACATATTTCAATATCTAACAGTTAATTAAATGTTTTCCACATAATTTACGATAAAAACATTGTATATTTCCATTTTAAAATGTTTAAGGGAATTGGATCTATTAAAACAACACATATATTTTAATTCTCTATTCTGGAAAATTAAGAAATGCATACCCTTCAGGACAAATGTATTTAACATAAGGTGACACAAGAAAAGTACATCAAATTTCCCTTATGCATGGAAACATATATTAAATAGGAAATACCTGAACATATTAATATGATTTGAAGGGGAAGGAATGTTAAGATTATAGTGGTAGTACAAAAGTTCATATATCCCAGTCCATAATTCATACATTATGATTTGAATATATATTGAATATATGACAAAAATACATCTTCCCATTTGTGGGCATTTGACTGGGACTACCACATTTTAAGTATATTTAAAGAAAACAAAATGAGAGTGCTAGAGACAGATTTAAATTATATGCAATAGACTTAGTGAATATATGGCCAAAACAGAATCAGTAATAATAATAGTTTAAATGTTAGGTGTAACATAATATGGTTTAATTTATATTGAAGATAGAATATTTATAAATATTTAATCCAATTTCAACAAACATACATAATATCAAATTTCAAAAAGCATGCCTCTTTTTGTTTTTTGTTTTGTTTTGTTTTTTAACTTACTGCTTTGTAAGTTCTCTTTTGTCCAGCATGTTTTCGAATTTGTTCTCCATTTGGCCCTGTTTCCACATGCATCGAATAGATAATGTCAAAGAAATCTTCAACCACAGCTACCCGCCGCAAAGACAGCTTCTCATCTACCCCTACACCATCCTGAAAACAAAACCAAAAAAAAAAAAAAGACACAAAGTTAACAGAGAGAGTGAATTAAACAAAAATATTTTGATAAACTGAACCAAATCATCCAGATAGGAAATTCCAAAAACTGTGAGTGAATATTGCATCATTTCATAAACTGTTTACATAGAGAACTTTAAGAAACATGAAAAAAGGAGGAGCAAGATGGCGGAGGAGTAGGAGACCTAAATTTCCTCTGGTCCCAGGAATTCAGCCAGATAGGGATCAAACCATTCTGAACACCTACAAACTCAACAGGAGATTGAAGAAAAAAATTGCAACAACCCTCTGAACAGAAAAGTGACCACTTTATGGAACGTAGGACGTACGGAGAAGTGAATCCGAGGTGATATTCTGGAAGATAGGTGGGGGGAGGGGCCTCCGTCAGCCACTTCTGGCAAGTGATAGAGCCTCAGAGCACAAAATCGGAACTTTTAGAAGTCGGCTCTGCTGAGGGACGTCACTCTGGTGGCTAAGCGGGGGGTGGAACCCTCCGGGACAGTGTGGTCTCAGGACCCTCGGGGTCACAGAAAGACCAAGGGTGCCTGAGTGTGGCAGAGCTCCCAGGTAACGGAGCAGGGAAGCTGGCTGCAGACGTGGAGCCCAGGCGCGGGGTTGCCATAAACCATGATCCGCAGCACAGTTGGGCCACTGCTCCTCCAGCAGGGACCCAAAAAGCGGCAGATCCGGGGAGACTCCCCTTCCTCCCCTGGGAGGAGCAGTATGGGAGCTCACCGCAGGGATCTGCTGGGTTTGGAGACTCCACACTGAGTTGGGTGCCAGAGATAGAAACACGCAGTCACACGCTGGGTGAGCACGGAGTATGGTCTCGGAGTCGGGAGTGATTGACTGCTTTTCTCTGGGGGCGCACTGAGGAGTGGGGCCCCAAGTTCTCGGCTCCTTCGGGGTGGAGATTGGGAGGCCGCCATTTTCACTCTCGTCCTCCAAAGCTGTACCGAAAGCTTGCAGGGAACAAAAGCTCCCAAGAGCAAACCCAAGCAGATTACTTAGCCCAGGCCAGGCAAGGGCGGGGCAATTCCGCCTCAGGCAAAGACATTTGGGAACCACGGCAACAGGCCCCTCCCCCAGAAAATCAGCAGGAACAGCCAGCCAAGACCAAGTTTACCAGTCAAAGAGAACAGCAGAACTCCAGCACTAGGAGAATACAGCACATAGAATTCATGGCTTTTTTCCTCCGATTCTTTAGTCTTTCAAAGTTAATTTTTTTTAATTTTCTTTTTTTTTGTTTTTTGGAATTTTTCTTTTTCCCTTTTCAACCAACATCTTTTCAATCCCTTTTTTAATAAAAATATTTTTTATTTTTCATTTTTAGAGTCATATTCTATCCCTTCATAATAGTTAACCTTATTTTTGGTATATATATAATTTGTTCTCTCTTTAAAATTTTGGGATACAGTTTCTTCTAACAGACCAAAATATACCCTAAATCTCTAGTGTATGGCTTTGTTCTAGTCTCCTGCCTGATCACATTCTCTCCCTTTTTTTTTAATTTCCCTTCTTTCTTTTTTCAACCAACTTCTTATCAATTCCTTTTATAAAATCTGTTATAATTTTCATCTTTACAGTCATATTTCATCCCTTCACTGTATTTACTCTTATTTCTGTACATATACAAGCTTTTCTTTCTTTAAAATTTTGGGAGGCAGTTTCTTCTAATGGACCAAAATACACCCAAAATCTAGTGTGTGGCACTGATCTATTCACCAGCCTGATCATATATGATCATATTCTTTTTTTTTTCTTTTTATCTTGTTCTTTTTCATCTTCTTTTCTTTTTTCTTTCTTTCCCTTTCTTTTCCCCCAGTTTCAGGTGTCTTCTGATTTGTTTAGTGTATATTTTTCTGGGGTCATCTTTACCCTGTTAGCATTTTGTTCTCTCATTCATCTATTCTCCTCTGGACAAAATTACAAGACAGAAAAAGTCACCACAGCAAAAAGAACAAGAGGCAGTACCGACTGCCAGGGACCTAATCAATATGGACATTAGTAAGATGTCAGAACTAGAGTTCAGAATGACGATTATAAAGATACTAGCTGGGCTTGAAAAAAGCATGGAAGATATTAGAGAAACCCTTTCTGGAGAAATAAAAGAACTAAAATCTAACCAAGTCAAAATCAAAAAGGCAATTAATGAGGTGCAATCAAGAATGGAGGCTCTAACTGTTAGGATAAATGAGGCAGAAGAGAGAATCAGTGATATAGAAGACCAAATGATGGAAAATAAAGAAGCTGAGAAAAAAAAAGATAAACAACTACTGGATCACGAGGGCAGAATTGAAGAGATAAGTGATACCAGAAGATGAAACAATATTAGAATAATTGGGATCCCAGAAGGAGAGAGAGGGGCAGAAGGTATATTGGAGCAAATTATAGCAGAGAACTTCCCTAATTTGAGGAAGGAAACAGGCATCAAAATCCAGGAGGCACAGAGGACCTCCCTCAATATCAATAAAAATAGGTCAACACCCCGATATCTAATAGTAAAACTTAGGAGTCACAAAGACAAAGAGAAAATCCTGAAAGCAGCTTGGGACGAGAGATCTGTAACCTACAATGGTAGAAACATTAGATTGGTAACAGACCTATCCACAGAGACCTGGAAGGCCAGAAAGGACTGGCATGATATATTCAGAGCACTAAATGAGAAAAATATGTAGCCAAGAATACTATATCCAGCTAGGCTGTCATTGAAAATAGAAGGAGAGATAAAAAGCTTCCAGGACAAACAAAAACTACAGGAATTTGCAAACACGAAACCAGCCCTACAAGAAATATTGAAAGAGGTCTTCTAAGCAAAGAGAGAACCTAAAAGCAACATAGACCAGAAAGGAACACAGACAATATACAGTAACGTCACCTTACAGGCAATACCCTGGCACTAAATTCATATCTTTCAATAGTTACCCTGAATGTAAATGGGCTAAATGCCCCAATCAAAAGACACAGGCTATCAGATTGGATAAAAAAACAAGACCCATCAATATGCTGTCTGCAGGAGACTCATTTTAGACCCAAAGACACCTCCAGATTGAAAGTGAGGGGGGTGGAAAACCATTTACCATGCTAATGGACACCAAAAGAAAGCTGGGATGGCAATCCTTATAATAGACAAATTAGATTTCAAACCAAAGACTGTAATAAGAGATGAGGAAGCACACTATATCATACTTAAAGGGTCTATCCAACAGGAAGATCTAACAATTCTAAATATCTATGCCCCTAACATGGGAGCAGCCACTTATATAAGCCAATTAATAACAAAAGCAAAGAAACACATCAACAACAATACAATAATAGTAGGGGACTTTAATACCCCCCTCACTGCAATGGACAGGTCATCTAAGCAAAAGATCAACAAGGAAATAAAGACTTTAAATGACACAGTGGACCAAATGGGCTTCACAGATATATTCAGAACATTCCATCCCATAGCAACAGAATACACATTCTTCTCTAGTGCCCATGGAACATTCTCCAGAGTAGATCACATCCTAGGTCACAAATCAGATCTCAACTGGTACCTAAAGATTGGGATCATTCCCTGCGTATTTTCAGATCACAATGCTTTGAAACTAGAACTCAATCACAAGAGGAAAGTCGGAAAGAACTCAAATACTTGGAGGCTAAAGAGCATCCTACTGAAGAATGAATGGGTCAACCAGGAAATTAAAGAATTAAAAAAATTCATGGAAACAAATGAAAATGAAACAAAACTGTTCAAAATCTTTGGGATGCAGTAAAGATGGTCCTAAGAGGAAAGTATATAGCAATACAAGCCTTTCTCAAGAAACAAAAAAGTTCTCAAATATACAACCTAACCCTACACCTAAAGGAGCTGGAGAAAGAACAGCAAATAAAGCCTAAACCCAGCAGAAGAGAAATAAAGATCAGAGTAGAACTCAATGAAATAGAAACCAAAAGAACAGCAGAACAGATCAACGAAACTAGGAGCTGGTTCTCTGAAAGAATAAGATTGATAAACCCCTGGCCAGACTTACCCAAAAGAAAAGAGAAATGACCCAAACCAACAAAATCGTGAATGAAAGAGGAGAGATCACAACCAACACCAAAGAAATACAAACAATTATAAGAACATATCATGAGCAACTCTATGCAGGCAAATTAGATAACCTGGAAGAAATGGATGCATTCCTAGAGATGTATCAACTACCAAAACTGAACCAGGAAGAAACAGAAAACCTGAACAGACCTATAACCACTAAGGAAATTGAAGCAGTCATCAAAAATCTCCCAACAAACAAAAGCCCAGGGCCAGATGGCTTCCCAGGGGAATTCTACCAAACATTTCAAGAAGAATTAATACCTATTCTTCTGAAACTGTTCCAAAAAATAGAAATGGAAGGAAAACTTCCCAACTCATTATGAGGCCAGCATTACCTTGATCCCAAAATCATACAAGACCCCATCAAAAAGGAGAACCACAGACCAATATCCCTGATGAACATGGATGCAAAAATTCTCACCAAAATATTAGCCAATAGGATCCAACAGTACATTAAAAGGATTATTCACCACGACCAAGTGGGATTTATCCCTGGGCTGCAAGGTTGGTTCAACATCCGCAAATCAATCAACGTGATACAATACATTAACAAAAGAAAGAACAACAATCATATGATCCTCTCAATAGATGCAGAAAAAGCATTTGACAAAGTACAGCATCCTTTCTTGATTAAAACTCTTCAGAGTATAGGCATAGAGGGTACATACCTCAATATCATAAAAGCCATCTATGAAAAACCCACAGCGAATATCATTCTCAATGAGGAAAAACTGAGAGCTTTCCCCCTAAGGTCAAGAACACAGCAGGGATGTCCACTATCACCACTGCTATTCAACACAGTATTAGAATTCCTAGCCACAGCAATCAGACAACAAAAAGAAATAAAAGACATCTGAATCAGCAAAGAAGAAGTCAAACTCTCACTCTTTGC